GGTAAGGGGATCTTAACCCTTGACTTGGTGTTGTCAGCACCACGCTCTCCCAGTGAGCCACTGGCCGGATCATTATTGTATATTTTCAAATGGCTGCAAGAGAAGAGCTCAAATGCTCTCCTCACAAAAAAATGATTAATTTTTGTGATGAATATATCAATTGCTTCATTTTGATCATCACACATTGTTTACATGTATTGCAATATAACTCTGGATCTCATAAATTTGTACAACCAATGTGTATCAATTAAAAAACAGGAAAAGATATAGGAAGCATGGACTTTGATAAGTGTCATGAGGAACAATAAGCCTATTAAGCCCATTAAGCCCATTAAGCCCATTGTGCAAGGATGTGTAGGAGGACCTGAATTGTCTGGGAGGTTGGAAAGTTTTATTTAAGCTAAGAGACGAACAATGAGGAGTAATCAACTAGGAAAAGAGGGTGCAGGTGGTTGGGGAGCTAAGGCAGCAAACGGGAGAGATCATTACGGGCAGAAGGGAAGACATGTGGGAAGCTCCCGAGGCGAAGAGCCTGGTTTGTCCTAGAAGATGAAAGTCCTCCATGTCCACAGTGAAGACGGCTGCAGTGTAGAACGATTCAAAATGAGGCTAAGGGTTATGGTGGCATGGTCTGCCTTGTTGCTCTTTTTCTTTTTAGAAAAACTTATAGAAACTTCAGTTTTATAAGTTTTATCTTTCCTATTTACCTTAACTTTCTCATGGTATATGTGTAAAAGGATTTACATTAGGTTCAAAGAAGTTCAAAAGTCAAGAAACAATTTTAGGTGTGGAAGAATACTTTCAGTTCATACCAAATAATTGAAGTCTGCTGTGTAGGTTTTGTCTTCGAAGTCTTGCATATTGAGAAGGTAGTGCACCATTACCCACTTCTGCTGGTTGCATCTCAGTTCTTCCATCTCTGGGACAATCTTTAGGAAGCTATTAGTCTTGGAGTAAAATCGGCGCACAAAGTATTCTGGCTGAGAGTATTGAGGCAACACCCAGCCACGAGCTTTGCAATTTTCGTTGGCTTTGTAGGTTGCCTAGATAAAGGATCAAATTTACAAATATTTGAGGATATAGAGAAAGCATAAGTAAAAGAATGCTTGATAAGATGGCTTATCATTTTGCACTCTGTCTCTACAGGAAAATTTCAGGCCTTTCTCCTTTTAGTCTAACCCAATTCATCATACTCACCGTCCAGTTACATTCTAGAGTGACCACTATAGTGTTCTTGCATTTTATTGTCTATTCAAGTCCTAGTTTAACAATATTACATTCAACGTTTTACTATGTTCTGTACTACAATTGTATTTTTAGTACTGTGTATATTGGTGTATCTCTTATACTATAATATGAAGAACTTGTGAATGCAGAAGTTGGACTTTGACACTAATAACATAATATGGAACTTTGCCAAAAGACGGAATAGCTTATTTTATGAAATAGAGCAAGGAGGTTACTCTAATCACAATCATTTACCATTATCAATACAAAATTCTGAAGGGGTCCTTTAAGCTATCTGGTAAGGATTGATACGTAATTATTATGGTGGCAAGTTATTTCTTTTGTGAATGTATCCAGAGAAATTCTTCTTATTACCCCATGGTATTAGATTACAGGGTTTTCCACATATTTCCTTCTATGGAAATGCAATTGTCCTTCTATTTCCACAATGAAAGTAAATTGCTGCTTATTTTCAGTTAATTGTCCTCTATGCACTTAAACATGTATGCTGTCTTTCTGTCTTTTCCTGGGATTCCTAAGATAATTCTTTTATCTATTTCTCATAGGGTCTATTTCTTTAATATTTAACCATTTTGCAGCACTCCAGATTCACACCAAGATGTATATGTTCATTTCTGTTACGTCAATATAACTTAGCGTAGATTTAAACTTTAGCCAGCCAATGCAGCTCTTTTTCCTCTACTTGCCTTTAGCTAACTTACTTTTTTTTTTCCTTTTTGTCTTTTTCCGTGTCCGGCAACGGATAGCAACCCTCAGTGTCGCGCCCGTACCGGACCGGGACCGGCAACGGGATCTCAACCCTCGGTGCTGCGCCCGCACCTCGCTCAGCCAGTGAGCGGGAACTGGTCTGTATGTGGGATCCGAACCCTCGGCGGGAGCGCCACCATGCTCCCAAGCGGCGCACTGTAGCAGTGCGCCACCGGGCCGGCCCTTTAGCTAACTTACTTTCAAGGTGATATTTGGGTACGTAATCTTAGATGTGTCCAAGGAAAACTGAGCAGTGCCATTGACATCTGTGCTGTAGTTGCCCACGAGTTTGTCCTTCAGGTACAACTGGATAACTTCACCTGGGATGGGAGAATCATCTGGATGAAGTAATTTGATCTGTACAAAAGGAAGAAATGAATTTCTGAAGTATGGTGTGAATTTGGAATGCATTTTGGTGGCACTTGCCAAGGCTCTACCTGTTGTACATGCACATCCCGGGTAGTTTCATCTGCTCCTGTGAGTGCATGACATACACCATCAACATATTGAACCTAAATTCTATTTATCCTACTCATAAAGATCTCTGGAAACTGAGGTCCAGATATATTTAACTATATCTTGAATATTTTTATAATAAAAATACAACAGAAACCTTCAAAATGGAATGATTTATTATTGTGCCAAATCTTCTTTCTCTTATTTATCTCAGTGACTTTTTTTTTAAATCTCAGTGAAACCATTTATTTAGATATTGAAGCCAAATAGCTAGGGACATCCTAGGCTTTTTCTTTTCCTTCACAGACAATTTTCAATTGTTAATAACATATTTTCTATTTTATCTTTTTAGCATTTTCTGTTTCTAATAATCATTCTTTTTCTTCTTTTACTTTTTTTTGGGCCACTGGCCAGTACAGGGATTGAACCGTGGGCCTTAGTGTTATCAGCACCATGCTCTAACCAACTAAGCTAACCGGCCAGCCTTCCAATTATACTCATCCTTATTACTATTGCCTTATATTGCCTTATGTCACTTTCTCAGCATTTTTTTTCTCATACATGTTTTATTCTCTTACCCAATCTCTCTCTACCACGCTCCTGTATTGTTTCTGTCTGCTGTTTCTCTATACTGACATCAAACCAAATTTTCTAAAATGCAAAATTTATTTTCCTCCCTAAAACTTTAGTGACTGCTTTAGTAAGCCATGATTATTTACTAAAAATCTCTTTCTTATTGTCTTACTAGTACAGGCCATGCTAGCCTTAGAACGTTCTTTCTGAACCTCTCAGACAAGGCCTGCGTCAGTAGCGATGCTGGTTTGCAACCTTCAAGAGCGCTCTTCTTAATATCTAAGGCCACACAAACCAGGAAAAACTTTCAGACACCCTCTTCTCAGCTCAGTTTCTGCAAAACTCCTTCTGCTTCAAGCCTTTCAACTTATTTCTGGCTCCCATCATTTACCTATTGGTTCAAGCAAACCCCAATTCTTTTGCTTATTTGGCCTTTGCAGACAGATGCCTCATTTGCACCATCTACGTGGTTTTTAAATTCAGTTTCATCTCAAGGCCTGATCTTGTAAAAAAATTCAACTTGTCTCAGCAATCCATGGGCCATGGACACATGACACCCAACCTTTGTAATCCACACATAAGTCTGTTCTAATTTTAGTACACCTAGACCAGAATGATCCTTTGAGACCTTTCTAGTCACCAAAGAAGGAATAGGCCACGTGAATCCTGGGGATTTTCCTATCTATCTTTGTCCACAAACTCAAATAGTACTCACATAGTGGTACCAAGCACATTACAAACTTTAGGGGCCAGGCATGCAACACTCCATTAGCAGATGTTTCTTGTGACAGATGTCTTTGCCATGTGTCTTACACATTCGAGCACTATCATTTCAGCCATCCACTGATGCTGCTGCTGTTACCTATAGAGAAATCCTCCTGTTAGCTCACAGCCTTGTGCTGCCTTCATATTCAGATATAGCTACTTCTTGAGTCATTACCTCTGAAGTCTTAAAATTTGTAGGGGAAGAAGCAGATGGTACTTCTCTTCTGGCAATAAAGATTATCCTTCAAATGACCTCCTAGCAATACTGAGCCATGTGTTTGATGACCTTATTACACAATGCCTGGACAGANAGCACATTACAAACTTTAGGGGCCAGGCATGCAACACTCCATTAGCAGATGTTTCTTGTGACAGATGTCTTTGCCATGTGTCTTACACATTCGAGCACTATCATTTCAGCCATCCACTGATGCTGCTGCTGTTACCTATAGAGAAATCCTCCTGTTAGCTCACAGCCTTGTGCTGCCTTCATATTCAGATATAGCTACTTCTTGAGTCATTACCTCTGAAGTCTTAAAATTTGTAGGGGAAGAAGCAGATGGTACTTCTCTTCTGGCAATAAAGATAAGCCTTCAAATGACCTCCTAGCAATACTGAGCCATGTGTTTGATGACCTTATTACACAATGCCTGGACAGATATACCATTTGCAATATCCAGGAAAGCAGCTACTACAGTGACCCAGTACGTCACAGAGCAACCAGATTCTTTTCCAAAAATACAAAAGGAATGACTGGTTACTACTAGCGTGTCTCCAGGAGGTGATCATAGCATCTGTCACTATGAAATGGCCAAAAATCCAGTAGAGATCACTGTATACAACCATATTTTTGAACTAAAACATTTTATTATTTGAGACTCACTCACATCTGCCTGCGGTTGCCATTGGTGTCCCTAAAATGATCAAGGAGACCAGAGCTCTTACGTTAGTTTCCATGACCTCTCTCTCTCAAATGTTAATAAAGAAGACATATCAAGGTCAGATACGCACATCTGTATTATGATAGACAGACGATTTTGTCCAAGGATGCCCGGTTCATGTAAGTACCATCTCAGTTGGCTTTCCTGGCTCTTCTCCATAGGAAGAGATGTCCTGGAGTTCCTGGTCATACAGTAAAATAATACTACACCTTGATGTGTTAAGAAGGAAGGAAATGGGAAGGGGCTAGGCCTTAGTTGCTAAGTTAGGGCTTAATTCACATACCAGCACCCAGAAGCCCTAGGCCCCTATTTCTTTTCATAGTTCAGGATGCTATATAAGCTTTACCTCTCTGACCTTCTCTAAAGTCTCATATTTTGTGGGACTCCCATGCATATGCACATAATTAAAATGGATTTTGTCTTGTCAATTTGCCTATTGTCAGTTTATTTCTTAGACTCAGTTACTGAACATTTAGAGGGTAGAAAAAAAGTTTTCCCTCCCCTTCAAGAACTTAGAAAGGTATAAATTTGAAAACAAGGAAGTTTTAACATAAGAATTCATAGCAAGAAGCTAAAAAAACCCAAAGATGGTAGAAGAAAGGGCATAATAAAAATAAATGTCATTTAAAATAATCATATCATGAAATAAGAATTATTTAAAATAACAAAATCAAAAACTAACGGAGAAAAAAATCAAAACAAAGAAACAAACAAGTCACAACCAAAACTAGGAATAACAAAGGGGAAATAAATTATGATAGTTTATTATTTCAAATCATAAGTGAACACAACAAATACTTTATTCCAACTATTTTAAAAGTTAAATTTAATGGGAAGATATCTAGATGCATAAACTAGCACATTTACTTAAGAAGTAGAATATCTGAGGACAAAAACCATTAGAGAAATCTTTCAGTAAACTAGAAAAGGGAAATTCTTTGACTTGATAAAGTGTATCTTACAAAATTCT